TTCTGAAGAAAACTTCCCTAGCCCCAAGACTGCAAAAATCCCAGCCAAGCTACCTACAGTGAGAAACTAAAAGGCAAAATTACTCCACCCCCTATAGGCCTCACGACGCGATGAAATGGCTTCAGAATGAAAAGATAAACTCGTTTTTAACTTCCATCATGTCATATATTGACAGAATCAGATCAGCAAGGAATTCTGCAGAGTAATTAAAAACAGGCTTTCAAGCGTCTATGTTACTCATCAACTTCTCGGAATCCGAAGATTAGGAAAGATTTAGCACTCCCTCTATGACGGACCAATAGAGACGCAGGAAATTTCACACAACTACTTTCCGGACTTTATCTCTTCTTCATCTTAGGCAGTCTAACTTCCTCTCAGAGGGTCTTATACGCAAGGCTCATATCTAACATCTTGTGAGAATCCTTTCTCAGAATTCTCTGCCAACATATCTAATGTTATGGTAAGAAAGTCATGCCATTTCGCCATGAGTTATACACAGGATGAGGCTTTTAGCTTAGGCGCCTGTTCTCCATATGCTTCACACCTGAGCCTTCTTCCGTCGTCATGTCGGAGAACCCTTCAATGGCTACCAACCGAGCCAGGCTCAGATCCTTATCTACGGCGGAGTGGTGAACTTCGTCAGGCGTAAATCCTTCGTAGTAATGAGTGACGTCAGACCTCTAGCCAGCCAATTAGAGACGTGGATTTTGAATTGCCAATCAGAGACGTGGATTTTGTGGGCACTCTCTGCTTTCTGCTGGCGTGCTGGCAACTTTCGCTCCAAAATTAATTAATTTTGAATTTTTGATGAATATTTTTTAACAATCCGCGATGTACTGAGGCCGCGATAAATAAGCTGCGAAGTAGCGAAGGATGACTGTACTCCAAGCAGAACAATGCTTTCTCCAGCATTCCCGGTGGACATACGGTCTTCTAGCTTGGGAAAGTCGGCTCGTTGAACATGCAGAGGATAATTTCGAACTCCCGTATACACTCACTGAGGTATTCACTGAGGCTCTCTTGAAACAACCTCACTTCACGATGTCCAAACCTCGACTTTCCCGTTGCTTGTCATACGCTGAATCGTAGCGAGAATATCCCTTCGGGTAAGAAACACGTACAGTTACAATCTCCAAACCGCGCATTCCAAGCCCCGTGCAAGAGTCCTTTTGTCTGGGAACTATTTCCTTGGAGGGCGATATAAGGAACATCTACGTGACCTTGTCACAGTAGTGCTGTCTGCAGGAAAGCAAGTTCCCTACAGTCTGTCTATCATAAGAAAAGCTCTCGCCAGTTAGTCTGCAGCTGTCTGTTGCCATCGAAACGAGCCTTGACCCATTTTTCGTAGGGGTGTCTTGAAGACGAATGATAAACTCTTTCCTTCTCAGCCAACAGTCGCCAAAAACAAAATAACAATAAAGCAACTCTTGGTTCGCCCCTATTTCAAATATACTAGCCCTCTTGCTACAGCGACCGCCACCCGCCAGACACTGAGGCGGGAGCTGCTATTCTCGTAGACAGACAGTACGCTTTGGAGAAAAATCGCATTTTTGTCGTCTTTGATATTTTGTTTACATAAACATATATGTTTTAATTAAAATAATAATAATTTAACTGATATATTTATTTATTTTATGTGCTAAAAAGTATAAAAATATAGATGCCTCGAATCAAGAAAAAACACCAACACAACGAATATGAAAGTAATGATGACTAATGTATGACTCAAATAGATAATGAACTTGAATTATTGGAAGATGATATAAATTCTACAAAAGCGTCTGAGCTATTGTTTTCGGTTTCTTTTCAAATCAAGACCAATTTTGACGAAGAAATTATTATTATATAAGAAAAAGAAACTTAGAAGACCAAACATTCAAAAGACGAGGACAAGGGTAGAAAGAATGAGCAACTTTCTGGATTAACTAAACCAAAAATTTATGGAGACGAATCTACAGTGTCGTTCAAGGGGGAAATAAACTTTCTCATGTCTAACCCTAAAAAAACCCAACAAAATGGGGACTTGAAGTTTATGTTTTAGCAGATTCTAAGACAAGGTATTTATATACATTTGTTCCATATCATGGTAAAATTACAACAGATGGCTTAATTAGACTAGATCTTAACTTCATTAGCAAATTTATGATGCAACTCTATTGAAATTTACGAAATTCGATTTCTGAAGGTAAAGGGTATCATATTTTTATTGACAAATTTTATACGAATTCCACTTTAGGTGCAGAACTTCTAAAACCCAACTACGTTCTTACTGGAACAATTATGACCGATCGAAAAAGATTGCCAGAATGCCAGAAAAAAAAAAAAAAAATTAGCTGTTAGACATAAAATCACTTGTAAAAAATAAAGACGTTAGTAACATGGCGTGACAAAAGCGTGGTCACAATGTTTAGTACAAAACAATCTTCTATTTAACAACCAGCCAGAAAAAGATCAAAGACGACTGAAAATGCTAGTGGAAAAAAAATAAACAAACCGACTATCATATTAGATTATAATAAAAATATGGGTGCAGTAAACTTCACCGACCAGTACGCTACATACTATTCTTTTATGAGGAAGACATTGAAATTGTGATCAAAGTTATTTTTCTGGGGACTGGAAACTTCCATTGTGAACTTATACATTTTATTCAATGAATATGCTACGAAGGAAAATATCAAAAAGATGTCACACAAAATTTAGAGAAAATTTATTGATGAGTCTAATAAAAAAAAAAAAGGCAGATTGTCCGTAGATGATACTAATCCAATGTTTAGATGGGAAGACCCATTTTATTTTTTCTCATAAAAAACACAAGGACTGTATGGTATGTTCCAACCGGAAGGTCGAACGAGGGAGAAAAGAAACAACATTCTATTCTATTGTGATAGGAAACCCGGTCTTTATCCAGGAGAATATTTTAAAAATATCATACTTTGAAAATTTAAATAATTAAGGTAAATAAATTGGTTAAATATATATGTTTATTTACTACCCTACTAAATATAATCGAAAAAATATTTGTTACACACTTTGCGCTGTTTCAATACAACCTTTTTTTTATCTATTTGGTAAATGAATTAAAGATTTTTTTTGTTAGTTAAAAAAAAAAAAAAACATTAAGGAGTGGAAAGAGTTAAGACAACGCATACAATGATTATTTGCATTAGGAAAGGATACTTTCATGAAGGTCTTTTTTAGAGGAAACTGGCTAGTATTTAAGTTACATATGGAGGATATCCAAGAAAGTGCCACGATTTCAGTCTATTCATCGGTATTTGAATTCGGGTTGCCCGTTTTTAGCCCGTGTTTAGCAGTTTCGTTTGGCCACTGATGGGCTTTCACTGATAATGAATTGTTGACATCCCAACAATACTGGCTTAATGTGATTGGATGCGGAGTCGGAATGAGTTTGGTTTAGTTTATTGAATTATGGCAAAGCACACGAGGGCTATCTGCCTAAGGTGAGAGATGACTTCGTGGAGGAATTTTTAAGGGAAACCAGCTCGTATACACGTTATACATGGGTAAAAAACAAAAACGCCTATGCAGCTAACCCGTTCCCCGGTATTCTAACCTCGGAACGAACTACTAGTGTTCAGAAACTCTACCGCTCGACCACTGGTCTCAGGGTCAGTCTAAGCCGGGGCAAGATGGTGCACAGCCAAATTTAAGGGCGGCGAAATGATTATCAAATATTTTCTATATATATGCGAAATGATTATCATTTCTGTAGAAAAGGGCGGCCAATTTTAATTTGCATGTAGGCGGCAGACGGTCTAGGATAGCTCTTCTGCCTGGTCGGAAGGGGATACTGAATGAATGTGAATTTCAGTGTGTTAAAGAATAAAAAACAGGAAGTCGCAGAAAGAAAACCTCGAAGGCAAGAGATACTTCAATATCTATAATTTTATAATTCAGTGCTAATTATTGAAAGAGTTTTATAGCATGAAACACAACTAAGTAGAGGATTCCTTAACTGCAATTATTACATTTAACAGCATTCAGAAGTGCAAATCGTTGAAGAATTATCTGGATTCTTATGCCAGTAAATAAATGTTCAGTGCTTTGAATTTTTGAACTAAAAAAGTGAATTGCTAAATTTTACAAAATTAGAGCATTCGAATCTAATTACAAAATGTTGCAAATTTTTATGTTCAGGTTTGCGCTTATTTGCATTTTGATACGTTATAATCTGTACTTATTTTTTAGTTAATAAGAATATTTCATAGTAATTCTCTATTAAAACACAAACTCATAACTTCTTCTGATCAGCTGAAAAATACTTTTGGAAAACCAAGCAAAATTTGTCAATTTTTGCTTTTTTAACCATGAACTGTTTATAATAAAAGAAATACACATATTATTTGGTCCATCTTATAATGTAGCCACTGATTTGCGTGAAATCTACGATAAAATTATTGATAAGGCATTTTCTTCCTTCTTACCGCGTGCTTTCGCGGTGTAACTAGATAGCAAGTCCGGCTAGCAATCAGAAGGTTTGGTGTTCGAATTCCAGAGAACATACTGCGGATTTCTTGTTTCATGACATCGAAAAATTCTAAATGAATCTACACATTTTAAGAGGCTCATATTTTCCCTTCCACTTTGCTCTAAATATATGCATGCGTAGCGTTGGAAGGAGTCTAAGTTTTGGTTTACGTTCTAATAAATTTTAAACTTTGTTCTGTTAACAACGGATACTAGATGAAACTAGAAACAAAATTCTGCATAATAATCCTTATATTCCTACAAAATAAGCACGAGTTCAAACTGGTTTGTTAGCGTATTGTTAACAACGGATACTAGATGAAACTAGAAACAAAATTCTGCGTAATAATCCTTATATTCCTACAAAATAAGCACGAGTTCAAACTGGTTTGTTGGCGTATTAGGGTTAAAAGATAAAAAATATTCAAATATTTGATACAAGTATGAAAAGAAAGTGACCTCTGCCTGTCCTTAGGGAACACATAAATTTCATAATCTTCCATATAACAACAGCTCTTGCAATTGAATGATCCCCTGAAAATTGTTTTCAGTTTTCCTTTTTGCTTCCTTTCCCACTTATCAACGCACGTGCGGGTACTAAATATTTTGTTCTTTTTTTTATTTTTATTTTTTTTTATTTTTCTTTGCTTATCAACTTACGTAGCCTGCAGATCTAATTTTTTTTTCAGACACTGGATGAAGTCATCAAAAGGCGATATTATTTGCAACCTTGACCGACACTCTGAAGGACACGTTTTTTTTACCAACTGTATACTCATGATGTTTCATATTGAAATCTGGTTTTATAGTTCATAATGGACATTAAATTTCGGAAAGTGAAAACCAACGAACGGGATGGGAAAAGACGATACATCGGTAGAAAGCATTCTCAATCGGGATCGTTAAGTACGAAATGTCTCGGAATTAATCTACGGAAATCAATACTCCATTGTTTCAGAAACGGCAACTGTATAGCTGAAAGGAAAATAATGTTTCCGAAGGCGGAGGGAGATAGACAAAGGTAACTATTCTGAGACATAGTTAAATTATTCTAACACACAGTTTAAATTTTCTCATGAAATATATACGTGCATGTTTTAAAATTTGTTTTTTAAACGCACACGTAACGATATTCTCTATGTGCTTCCTTTCTACCCAGAAACTTCTCTTTGCTTTTGGATCGACTACCTTACTGGTAATGAAAATCAAAATTTGCTTCTGGGTCGAATACCTCAGTGATAATGAAAATAAAAGTATAGTTGTTGTAGTTTATTTTCTTACATTCTGAATAACTAATAAAACAGATACTTGGAAAAAGCGTTTTATTCAAGCAACAAATCCTCAGATGCCAAATATTAGAAGAAATTTATGATTACACATTGTGCTAGTTGCAGGTTTGAATAAATTCCTTTTTAATAGCTATTTAGATTACGAGGATAAAATTTATGAGACAGTTTTTAGGAAAATAATTTTAGTATAATTTTAGTATACAAGAGAGATGACGAAATTCCCATTTTTAATTATTGTTGCCGCAATTTTTCCAGTTGTATTCAGCTTGTCTTCACGTACTTCAGCAACACTATCAATCCCCATAACACACTATCATATTTATGTCTTAACTATCGTTGCCACTCTCTTCAAAAAACTTACCACGACATAGCACGTATTATTTACCACCTGGACGTAATATATACCCAAATTTTGAACAGATTTTTTTTTCTAAATAAAATGATGCATCATCGATACCGAAAATAAGTATAGCTAATGTTTAGTTACTTGCCTGTAATCAAAGTATGAATTAAAGCAGATGATTGACTGACCGGTTATTATCACTTTTTCGTTAAATTCCTCACTGTCTGAGGAAGGTTCTGTTAAAACATAGTCACTGATGTCTGAAAAGCACCTGGTTCATCTCCTACGGACAAATCACCAAATGGGAACTTTCACTAAATCTCTGTAGCCATAAACTACATAAAATTGCCCTTATATATACAATTAATTAGTGTCACTACCATTGTTTAATGCCACTGCTAAGGCTATATTCTAACAACCAACTTGTTAACGTATATGCATTAGCGAATTATCCATTTTAATAGCTTCAAAAGCATATTTTAAAAATGCATTTAATAGCTCCGAAAGAAAAACTTCATTGCAAAATTTGATAATTATATCTTAAAACATATTTTTGAAGACCACTTAAGTTTACGCGACATGAGATTCAGCAAGTCTTTGCACCATCATACATTCAATTGAATTCATTTTTTATTCAATCCATAACTAAGGAATGCGACTGTATTTTAATCTGCACAGTTACAGGTAAAGAAAGAAAGGAATCGAAGGAAGCCTATTTATCTAAATGTGATAGCAAAAGAAAGTTTTAAGAAGTATTCTTCGTTGAATCATTCTTCTTCCATTAATACAATGTCAGATCTTATATTTCATTACTGTTGATATTTTAATGAGTACAATAAATCCAATATTGGAAACATCTCAGCACTGTCATTCGTCATAACATACTAACGTTAACCTGTTCAGCGTCACTTTTTTAAATCAGAGCGTTAACCGCTCTGAGCCAAACCGCGCAAGAAACAGGAAACGGAAACACATATTCATTGCTTGCAAGTGAGGCTGCAGGCTTGGATAAATGCTGCTTCGTGATTGGTTGCTTCAAAATATCAAGAGGCAAAACAGGCAAACAAAAAGAATAGCGTTCCCCGAGAAAAACGGCACACTGGTGCCAATTTCTCAGCCCGAGTTAACTCGGGAGCGGGTTAAAGGCTATTCATGCCAACGGTAAAAAGAAATATTCTTTGTATTAAAAAGATCCTCTTCTTCTACTTGAAGCTTGGCTTCCCTTTGGCGCCTTAAGCTCCAACACAAAAAGGATCCTCACACCTAGAAAAAATTTTCGATAATGATGAAACTTTGTAAGAGTAGTGAGAAGACAGAGAAGTGTTTAAAAGCGGATAACAATCAATCCATGTATTGAGCAAATATAGCTTCAGAACCACTGATGTTACAGTCGCTACATGCCTATTACAGTTACGCATGAAGCTATTTGCTCTGGCACATAGGGTTCCCACCTCTCCCGGAATTGAGTCCTGAAAATTAAAATCTCCCGGCTCCCGGAAAGAATTTAAAATAAAAATTACTCTCCCGGAATATCAAGTTTCTCGAAAATAACGACACAGTGTGCACGGACGAAATGGTTAGAGCATCGAAAATCACACGACCACGCACAGCAGCCAAAGAACGTCTATGTCAATACATATTCTTTGAAGCAGCCATCTACGGTGAGCGGTGAGTAAGCGCCTTACGGGATGAGTCGTGGTTTCCTACCGGTGTGTAGCGCATACGCGCCCTCATCTCCCCTCAGTCTCTCATTTCAAACCATTCTTTCATTTAGTCTGCAGTTAGCTAGCTATCCACAAACAAGTGCGTATTTTGAAATTATTTAAATGCTTTCATAATAATGTTTAGTGTGTATGTGTGGGGGGAAACGATTCTGATTCTACAAGTAAACGAGTACCACAAAAAAAGGGGGGGGTACAAAATATTCGACGTCGTTTCAAGACAAGTGGGTAACTCAATTTGATTAGCTTATGAAGACAGACAACTTTAACGGAGAATGCAAAGTATGTCGAAAACGGTTAATATTAAGTACGAGGATGTTAGAGCTTTAACTGTACATTCTCAAAGCAAGAAACACCATTCGTTAATATTGAAATGGGATTCTTTGCAATCGGTTTCGAACTTTTTCATGAAGAAATCTTCAGAAGCACAAGACAATATATCAGCAATTGAAATTACTTCAGTCTATCACAAGATTAAGCACCGTCACACTTTTAATAGCCAGGCTTGCACAAACTGTATAGCACTATATTTCCAGATTCTTCTTTGCCAAAAACGATTTCTTGTAGTAGAACAAAATGTACAAGTATTTGCGAGAGTGCACTTGCTCCTGCAGCTCAAAAAATACTTTTAAACGAGATTAAGGAGGCAGAGATTTTTTTTCAGTTCCGACTGAAAAAAAAACTGTTTTTTCCTCTCCCAAATTTTGACAGCCAAGGGTGGCAACGCTAGGCACAGCCCATATAAAGATCAAAACCGCTTCTATGAAGTTTGCTACTAGATAATGTGTAATTACTCAACACGTTCACACACAGGTTGCTGGACAACACTAACCAGATGTGTCATATGTATTGATTGAAGAAACATCCAGAGATATGATAGGCTAACGGCGCATCGTGATGCTACTCGGATATTCCTTACAAACGTACACCACCAAAAGCAGGATCAGTTTAAGATGCTTGCAACAACCACAGCTGTGGGGGCCTGAATATAAGAGGGCCCCGTATAATTTCTTGCATTGCATAATGTTTCATAAATTAACTTGCACGATACCTATCAGAAGCTATAAACGTGACTCATGAGGAAAATAAAACATGAATGACATCGGCAGAGGTTCCACTGAAAGAATACATCTCTCCTTTAAATGTTTTAAATCAAATGTATGTGTCATCAGAATTATCAGTCCACCATATAATTAGTCGAACTAATTAACATCTAGACATATAAATAATTGCAAAAATCACAAATACTTTCCAAATATATAAATGCTAAATGTAATTAAAACTGTTCCCCATTAACCTGATTATTAAGGAAATAAATTACTGAAAAATAGAAACACACTTCATTTAGATTCAGTCACCTTCTTTTAAGATCCTGCTGTAATAATCTTCATTTAAGAATCAATCATCGTATTTCATTTCAAGATTCAATAACGTGTTTTATTTCATCACCAAATTCTCTCTTCTTTCATTGCTATTGATTATAGTGTACAGAGACACTGTATCGACCTAAAAAGCTCGGTACTTGATGTTTTTACGCTAAACAAATCCTGTAACACAGTCTTGACCAGGTAATGTCACAGTATCTCTACTGAGTACCAGATTTAAAGGTTTGCTTTCATCACTTTTTATTAAGACAATATCGCTGCCTTTTACGAGCTGGAAGTGTTTCTTAGTAGGTTGTTACTTTAAAAGACCCAGGTATTCACTCCTGAACATTTTCTTCGAATTTTTTCTAAGTTGCTTATGATACTGGAAATGTTTATTTAATTTCATCCAACTTGTCAAGATAAGGGGCTTCACTTAAGGTTTTGTTTTCCAAGAAAACAGCTGGTGTTTACAAAAATAAATCAATAGGAATATCAGATAAATATGTAGTTGATCTTGAATTTACAGTTACTTTAATCTCACAGAGGATACTCGGAACTTCTTCATAGTTCAAAGAGGCGTTTCCTAAAACTCTGAATAGCAATCTTTTTGTCATATGTGCTATCCTCTCTCCCACCGAGTTGCTAAAAGAGGTTGAACATCCGCTGCATTCTTCAAAAGAAAGAATTTTCTATAATCTTATTCCAATCAACGGATTTCAACAATTCTTGCCATTATCACTGTACACTTCTTGGGATGACCTCTGCCGGCGATATGTCTTCGAAACTCAAATAGGAATCTATTTGCATGTAATGCACTTCTGCTATATATATCGGATGTGAATAATAAGATCCAAGCTTTCTTTTTATCCTTTAAAATCAAGTGGCCTGCAACATGTAGGCATATTATTCTGAACGCAACTGTGTCCTTGACTATCTTCTGGCAAGGCTGGGGAAGGAGCATTGATGTTATTGGCGTTTTTTTAAACAATTAGGGTACTTATTGATTACATTTTTTATTGTCTTTTTTCCTCGTAAAGTACATTAATTTTCTCTAAAAGACCGACAATAGCTAAAGCTTCAATTGCGCTGGAACCCGGCTGCGGTACTTGTGAGTTTTTGAGATAAATAGTTATTCGAGCCGGAACGCATTGGGGCCCAATATGAAAGGGTACACTTTTTTTATATAAGTAAACCACAATTTTAACAAACAAATTTTATTTTAGTAACAAAATGTGCCTTGAAATTGATTTAAATTCCTGAAAGTATGTTTGTCTTTTTTTTCGGATGCAAATTTAAGAAGG